CACACACACACACACACACACACCGGACTCCTAAACCCACCTATCACACACACACACACACACCTGACCCCTAAACCTACCCAACACACAAAACTTTCTGCATTTCTACATTTTCAAAAAACATCACTTCATAACATCTGATTTGATCAAATTTGGGTCAAATATGGACAAACCCAAATGTTGGGTTAAAAATTAAAAATGTACAGCTGAAAGTAAAAGTTGAAGATTTTAAATGAAACTATTAACCCAACATTTGGGTTTGTCCATATTTGACCCAAATTTGGGTTAAAACAACCCAGCATTGTTTCGAGTGCCCCTCTACAGAAACAGGATAGGAGGATTGTCTAGAGTAAGTTAAATCATAGATGTGGATAATATACACTGAAATCATCTGGTTTGGGGCTGAAGATATCTCTGATCTGGGCTAATTGTCTGAAGACATACACTCTAAAAAAATGCTGGGTTGTTTTAACCCAATTTTGGGTCAAATATGGACAAACCCAGCCATTGGGTTACATTTTAAAATTACATTTTAACCCAATGTTTGAGTTTGTCCATATTTGACCCAAAATTGGAGTGTATATTTTTTGGAGTGTATAAGTGCAGTCAGCAGATTATAGTGGTGTGTGTGTGTGTGTGTGTGGAGTGTTTTAGAGGATGTGTGTTAGGACCGGTGTGACAGAAGATCCCTGAGCAATCACTGAAGATTGACATAATTACTGTAGGAGCGTTGGGTTTCATCTGGCCATGCGTGTTCAGACGAGACACTTCTACTAATCACCAGTGTGTGTGTGTGTGTGTGTGTGTTCATAACCAGCGGATGACTGAAGAGATTGCTCTGTTAGCTCACGAGTCAATGTTTATAACACAGTTAGATCTATAACGCGAGAGAAAGATGAGAAATATTTGATTGCAGGATTTCTGAAACCCTGGAGAAACATTAGGAGAGTTATTATTTAATCTCATTTCTGAGTGAACGAATGAAGTGTGTGTGTGTGTATTGTTGACGTGTGTGTTATAACACCGCATGTGATGGTTGGGTGATTGTGTTCATTGTCTGCTGTAACTCTCAGTCATTTACATAATTGAAGTGTGTGTTTTCATTCTCATCCTGCTCTGGATGTGTGTGTGTGTGTGTGTGTGTGTGCGATGCAGATTCACACTCTGTTAAGGGCTGTTAAAGGGACGTCTCTTGATCTGTGAACCACATCAAAGGTGTGAAGAAGAGTGTGTGTGCGATTCAACTCTATAATTACACTGAAACACAGTAGCTGAGGAGATTAGATAACATCTACCCTCAGTGCCCCCTCACTCACTCACACACACACACACACACACACTCTCTCTCTCTCATACATTCAAATACACAAACACACACTCACTCACTCACTCACTCTCATACATACACACACACACTCTCACACATTCAAATACACTCACACACCCAACATACACACTCACACACTCACACATACAATTTACACTCTCACACTCAAACACACACACACTCTCACACAAACACTCACACACTCACTCACACATACAAACTCACACGCATACAAAAATACACTCACACACTCAAACATACACACACACACACAACTTACATACTCACACATTCAAATACACACTCTCACTCAACACATACAAAATACACTCACACATCAAACATACACACACACACACACACACACTTACATACTCACACATTCAAATACACACTCTCACTCACACATACAAAATACACTCACACACTCAAACATACACACACACACACACCACACACACACACACTTAACATACTCACACATTCAAATACACATCTCACTCACACATACAAAATACACTCAAACATACACACACACTTACATACTCACACATTCAAATACACACTCTCACTCACACATACAAATACACTCACACATACACACAACACACACTTACATACTCACACATTCAAATACACACTCTCACTCACACATACAAAATACACTCACACATACACACACACACACACACTTACATACTCACACATTCAAATACACACTCTCACTCACACATACAAAATACACTCACACACTCAAACATACACACACACACACACACACACTTACATACTCACACATTCAAATACACACTCTCACTCACACATACAAAATACACTCACACACTCAAACATACACACACACACTCTCACACAAAATACACTGTCACACTCAAACATACACACACACACTCTCACACAAACACACACACACCATAAAACTCTCTCACACACACACACACACACACACACACACACATTCAAATACACACACACACACACACACACACACTCACACATACACACCTACAAATACACTCACACACCCAAAACATACATACACACACACTCACACTTAACATACTCACACATTCAAATACACACACACATTCATACAATACTAACTCACACACTTACACATACAAAATACACTCACACACTCAACACACACACACACACACACACTCAAACATACACACACTCTCACACAAACACATACAAAATACACTCTCTCTCTCTCTCTCACACACAGACACACACACACACAAACACTCACACACACACACACACTTTGAGGATCATTAAACTGGATGGATGGAGGTTTACTGTTTATATTATTGTAATTATATTAGATTAGATTTATTATTGACAGGTATTCCACATTAATGTTTGCTCTCAGTATTTGTGTTTCAGCAGTTGTCATTTCCTTCATAGTTTTTCCCCGTGTCTTTGCGATCTTCGACAGCCACAAAAGCCTTTTCAGTGCGGCTCACACACACGCGCCGCAACAGTGGCGTTCTGTTGGAGAGCTTCAGGCCTGAGTGTGTGTGTGTGTGTGTGTGTGTGTCAGCGCTGATGAACTGCTGTGTTCCTCCTGAACACCACACCAGAGGGATTCCAGCGCCCGTGTTTACTCTACACCGGACAAATGCTGTATTGAGCTCAAGCCGAGCTCTCAATGAGCTTATTCTGTTCATTTACACACACACCACTTCAAGAAAATACCTCTGTTAATGGCTCCAGACCCCTGCGCACACACACAGCTGGTGTGTTTAACATATATTGGATGTTTGAAATTTTTGAGAGGTCATTGAATTTCGCTAAATATTATTTTAGTTTCAGCTCTTGAATAGTGGAAAAGCCTCAGTTCTCTCAGTCAAGGCATGTGTAAACTAATTCAGTGTGTTTGATGGATAATATATAGGAGAAACTCGCGAGTAGGGCTGTCAAACGATTAATAATCGCATCCAAAATAAAAGTTTGTGGTTTACATAATATATGTGGGTGCATTGTGTACAATTATTTTATATATATATATATATATAAATTACACACATGCATGTAGAAATATTTTCATGTATATAGATTTATATATAATTTATATTATATATAAATATTTTATATATAAATAATATTTTTTCTTAAATATACATTCATGTGTGTGTATTTATATATATATATATATATATATATGAAGAGTTCAGATGCAAAAGCCTCTAAATGCCATTTGAAATTTTCTTCTTTAATGATGATTTTTATCAAACTTGTATATTTAAGAACAGTAATTTCACTTAAATGGCAATGATAATTACCTATTAATTGTTATTTAAGTGAAATTAATGAAATAAAATATACAAGTTTGATAAAAATCATCATTAAAGAAGAAAATTTCAAATGGCATTTAGAGGCTTTTGCATCTGAACTCTTCATATATATATATATATATACACAAAAAATATTTATACACAGTGCACCCACATATATTATGTAAACACAAACTTTTATTTTTGATGCGATTAATCGCGATTAATCGTTTGACAGCCCTACTCGCGAGTTTAATTTGTTGATCACATTGTTTTAGTCTTTATTACACTGATGCTGATCATTTTAGGGACATCACAAGATCGATGATTCGATGAATGAATGAATCTTTCTCCGAGTCATTTGGTTCATTCAACGAATGAATTGACTCGGAAAAAGATTCGTTCAATTGATAAACAGGAGAGTCACGAATGCGCATCACTGAACAGAGCAAGGCGACCATTTGAGCTTATAAAACTTAAACTTTGTGATTTATTTTTTAAAATAAGCGATCGTTTCGCTAGATAAGACCCTTATTCATCGTCTGGAATCATTTAAAGCCCTTTGAAGCAGCACTGAAACTCTCATTTGGACCTTGAACCGTTTGGACCCCATTGAAGTCCATTATATGGAGAAAATCCTGGAATGTTGGACTGAAGAAAGAAAGACATGGACATCTTGGATGACATGGGGGTGAGTAAATTATCAGCAAAAGTTTTTTTAAAAGTGAACTACTGCTTTAAAAAATGATTGTGATTTTAACGGTAAAAATGCTACAGTGCAAAACTGTTAATTGGTTAAGTTTTCTTACTATATAGTATACGGTAAATACCTGTGAT